ATATAAAGAGAGAGAGGATTGTATACTACTATAGGTGTGTGTATCACAATAGATGAATTATATAACATTTTGTCGATTTATTATCTCATTAAAAAAACCCATTAAATTACAGATGTAATTTGATGACACCAAATGCACCTACGAGATGAAGTATCTAATATTTTAACCATTTTTTATATTATTTCAAAAAAATGGGATTAAGGTCAAGGTGGTAGCACCACCTGAGCGTAGCTGCTGGTCTCGGTTTCCATTCCTATCAATAGTAACCCCTATGAAAACGAAAAAGGATGAAGTTTCCATAAGGCCTAGGCTTTATGAAATCAAAATAAAATTAACAGGAAATCTCCATGATGGCTCTAGTCCACTTTTGACAACAGAAATCTCAAGCTTGAAATCTCTTTTTTGCACGAGCATAATTTTCAAGCCAAGAGGATCGAGGTAAAGATTTTCTATTGCTTGAATTACAATTTTCATCTCTTTTTTTCACAAGCATAATTTTCAAGCCAAGATGATCGTGGTAAAGATTTTATGTTGCTTGAATTACAATTTCTCTTTTTTTCACAAGCATAATTTTCAAGCCAAGATGATCGAGGTAAAGATTTTCTGTTGCTTGAATTACAACTTTCATCTCTTTTTTTTCACAAGCATAATTTTCAAGCCAAGATGATCGAGGTAAAGATTTTATGTTGCTTGAATTACAATTTTCAATGAGTTATGAGGTGAGACTATCGCACGAAAAATCAAACCGGAACTGTTGACGAACATTGGCCCGAAAGCTCTTCAACCGGCTTAACCGATACACCGGCTTCAATAGTTCGAACTGAGCAAGTCCCGGACGGTAAAAAAGAGTGAAAAACTAAAAATAAAAAAATAAGATTTTTTTAATAAAATATGAAAAATATATTTAAATAATGATTAAACAAAGAAAATCCAAATGAAGCTCGAAATTACTGAAAAAAATAGATTTTAAAAGACCGACTTGTGCCAGTGGTATTTTTGAAATTTGCAAAAAAAAAAAGAAGAAAAATTTAAAAATTAATATTAATAGCCAAAATAATTTATGGTGAAAAACATTAAAAAATACATAACAAATAAAATTCCTTATTTATTTATTTTTCAGGTTTTATATAATTTGTTTAAAAATACTCAAAACTGATCCGGCCAAACCCAGCAGTTACTCAAACCGCCCGATTTTTCTTTCCGTGGGTGAGACTTTACCATTTTGATGGGGCTGCCATCATAATACAAATGATAAGGCATCAAAATACACGAGCAGCAGGAACAGTTGGAAACAGGGTAAAATGTAAAACATTTGTGATTTGTATAATACCTAATGGACTGGACGTTGAATAGGAAAGCAGAGAGAAAGCAGAGGATGATCAAGAAGATTTTGATAGAGGAGAGGAGGGAGCTCCTGCCTCCATAGACCAGCGGACCACCAAGACCACCCTGCTTGTTGTCGTTGTTGGAGACGCCATTGCTGCCGGATATAAGAATGGCGATGAGGGAGCTGAGCATGATGGCCGTCGATGCCAATAGGGTCGACGCCATTATATTATTCCGAAGGGTTTGAACAGCGAGCACCCCAGTCTTCCCTGGGTCCTGAAAAAACAAACATGTTGAGAGAGAGAGCGAGTTGGGATTATGGATTCAGTGAGGTGGGTTTAGGCTAATTAACATTGATTTGTCAGGAATATTAGCATTGATTTGACAAGAAAATAGATCGTCTGGTTTCAGAGAACACCCGTCCAAAGCCTAAAACACGGAGGTTGTATGCGCTGTGATAGCCAAGAGATTGATTCTTCGAATGTTTTAAATGACAAGGAAAAAAAGGTCTCTCTTTCTCTCTCTGAATTCATTGCAGCCATTGCCCATGGCTTTATGTTGCTTATGATACTGGATTTTCCTCAAAGAAATGTGCTCTCTAGAGAGAGAGGTTTGATGGGGTTGTTACCTGCATCATGGTACGAGCCCAGATGAGCCTATTGGCGGAGTTGATGCCCATAACAGTTGTGTTTGGGTGCTTCATAACGCGATAGAAAAGCCAGGCGTGATAGGCCACCATGAGAAAGAGGCCCATGGGTACCAAAACATAGTCCAGCTCTTCTTTATGCACCGCCATTACGCCTGAACAAGAGACTCAGTAGGAACTTTATCAGAGATGAAAGATGACACGTTTAATTTTTTGTTATGGAAAAGAGGGAGGGAGGGGGCGGTGATTTTATAGAGAGAGAGAAAAGTGTTTAAAATGTTCCCTTTCTATTTGCTTCACAAGCATCACATCACATCACATTTATTTTTATTTTTTCTCAACCAACTTCTACCCCCGCCGTCCCAAAGGCGACTTGTAAAGGAAAAAAAATAAGGGAACTAACTATCCTTACTTTTTATTTATTTATTTTATTTCTCCATATATCAATAACTTACAATATATCTTCTGATTCCCTCACTTACTTTATTCACTTCTAATTATGTTTTTTTAGCTTTAATAAATATTAAAAAAAACATGCTCTCTGCTTGCAGTCCAAGACCTCAAAAATGCCCATAAGTTGTTTGATTCCATGCCGGAATGCACAGTGGTTTCATGGACAGCCATGCGTTCAGCCTATGCAAAATGTGGTCAATTGAGCTGGGCTCGAGACCGCTTCTTTGATAAGATGCCAAATTGTACAGTAGTTTCATGGAATGCAATGCTCTCCGGTTATGCGCAACAAGGGTTTGTCAATGAAGCAATAGAGCTCTTATGAGGAGAGAGGTTACACCTGATGAGACCACTTTGGCCACTGTGGCATTTGCGTGCTCGAAGCCTGGTGACCCCGAGCTTGCTGAATGAATCATTGGGTTCATTGATCAATGTGGGGTGAAGCCTAATTGCTTTGTGGAGACAGCCATGGTTGACATGTACTGCAAGTGTGGGAGCTTGGAGAAAGCGAGAGAGCTCTTTGATGCCATGAATCATAAGAATTCCTTCTCCTGGAAAACTATGATTTCAGGGTATCGGAGAAATGGGAATTTGCATTCTGCCTGTGAGCTCTTTGACAAGATGCCCGGTAGGACTGCGGTATCATAGAATTCAATGATTGCAGGGTATGGACTATGGTCCCTGGCCATGGAATCGTTTAAAGAGATGATATATCGGGCCGGAGTTGGACCGGATGAAGTGACAATGGTGAGTGTTTGGGGGCGAGAGGAGAGAGAAGGGGGTTGGGACAGGCGAAAGGCGATAGGCGAGAGAGAGAGAGGTAGGGTTGGGGACGGAGGGGAGAGGAGGTAGGGGTTAAGGGTCGGGGGTTAGGGGAGAGAAGGAAAGGT